TCTCTCTCTTCTCTTCGATCTATCATCTCTCTCCTCTCTCTCTCCTCGCTCTCTCTCTCTCTCTCTCTCTCTCTTCTCGATCCTCTCTCTCTCTCTCTCTCTCTCTCTCTCTCTCTCTCTCTCTCTCTCTCTCTCTCTCTCTCTCTGTCTGTCTGTCTGTCTGTCTGTCTGTCTGTCTGTCTGTCTGTTCTTACTTTAACGTCTAGTTTCTAAATGTATGGTTAAATAAAACTGATTTTATTAAACACAGATTGTTGTTAGATGTCGACAGAAAGCAAGGATATAATCCCCTTGTCTCTCTGTGTGATATTTAAACATTAACTCGTGTTTAGAGAAACTTTTCTGATTAATATTTTCTTTGTTGATATGTTAGCATGTTAGCATCGTTAGCTTCAGCTCCGGTTCGGTCGGTTTTTAAGGATAAAAGGACCCGTTAAACCGGGTCTTTGTGCTCCGGGAGCCACTGGGAGGATTTCAGAGCCCCGGGGGAACCGGAGAGTCAGGAAACATGGAAGTTATTTCATGTTTTCATTCAAACAAATATTAAAAAACCTCCAGAATCTGAAGCACTCACCCCGCTGCCGGACGCCATCTTGAGTTTATCATGAAGAGCTACCCGACTGTCGTTAAAGTCAGAGTTCCTTTTTACGACAGGAAACAGCGCTGCCTGCTGGAGACTTTTAATTGAGTTACAATATTTTACATTCTGATTTAAAGTAGAATGACATAAACCTGTTTTATAAATTACATTTTTTTTTATTTGATTCTATTGTCATGGTATTTTTATCTGTTCTGTATTTTCTAAATATTTATTTTTTACATTTATATGTTTATACTCTTATTGATTATGTTCTATACATAAGTTTTAATTAAAATATATAATTATAAATATAATTTTAAAGGTATTTTTTCCTTTATTTATTAATTTTATTAAATATTATTTAATATATTTATAGTCTAAATCTATGTTGTTTCATTTTTAATATTTTTATACTCTTGTCCAGTTGTTTATTTTTGTAATTATTATTATATTAATTTTTAAGTAATTTTTTTAATATTTTAAAATCTGATATTTATCTTCTTGTGTGTTTTTATTTTATATTATTACATGGCTTAGTTGAATACTCGATTCTGATTGGTCAATTTAGAACACGTGACACGTTGTTAATTAATCATGTTCTATAATTACTGTGAACTAAAGTGTCATTGTTATTGTTTCTTTAATTGTTCCTCTTTATCTGGCTGTATTTCATTCCCTGTTATTATTATGTATTTTATATTGAAAAGCTCCTGTAATAAACTTTATTCTGTCTCTAGGGGAACCGGAAGTCCCGCCCCCGCAGGCCCCGCCCCCTCAGGTGCGCCTCATTAAAGGTGAGGAAGCGGAACAATGGCGTCTGAAGAGAAACTCGATCCGGCATCATGTCATCGATCCGCGGAGAAACAGCTGCTCAGAGCCCGCTGCAGTCCTCCAGGTCTGAACCTTTCTTTCATCATTATGTATTATATCTACCTGTCAGAGAGTCGTCATGCTCACCTGTGCAGCCTCAGGTGAGCACGAGCTGCAGGTTGATTGGCTCTCAGGTGAAATCCAGCAGGACAATTAACCAACAATTAGATTTATGGATTTAAACAGGAACAGAAAACGTTTCTCTACAGAAACTATTGTTATTATCTCTGCTTCAAAGTTGAGTTTCTGCTTCCTGGTTACAATGAGCGGTTCTTCTGTAAACTATAAACCTATATTCCTGCAGTACTTTTGACATTTTTTTTTAAAGAACACACAGAGACAGACAGAGACACACACACACACACACACACACAGACACACACAGAGACACACACAGAGACACACATACACAGAGACAGAGAGAGACACACACACAGACACACACAGAGACACACACACACGGAGAGACACACACACACACACACAGAGAGAGACACACACACAGAGACACACATAGACACACACACACACACTTGTGAGTAGCGCTTTTCGAAACGGCAATGGCCGTGGCTGTCTCCTCCTGATTGGTGGAGTTGGCCCAATAGCCGTAGCACCACCGTCTGACGTCAGGACAGTGTTCAAATCTGGATCAGTTTTTATCAGATCCGTTTGCAGCCCCTTTTTTAGAGATTTGGGTATGGAGGAGGAAATAGAGAGGGTTGTGTTTTCTGACACTTGGTGAGTTCCCTGGAACACCGGGGACACATATTCATGTATACAAGACGTACAAAAGTGCATTTTGCATGATAGGTCCCCTTTTAAATGAACTCTTAAAGTCTTTACGGTGCTTTAATTGTCTCAGTTTTAGAGCAGCAGGGAAACTAATTAGATTCAAGTTTTCCAGCTGATTCCCTGGTGCATTGTGGGAGATGTAGTTCATTGACAATGATAATACATTTCATTTATACAGCACATCTCAAGGTGCTTCACGATGCTACGAGGAGAAACATACAATAACATACAAAGTGATCTGAGGAGCATATTGAATACAATATGGTGTTTCCTGAGCTCTGGTGCATTGTGGGAGATGTAGTTCCTCACTGTCTCTCTCTCCCTGTGTGTGTGTCTCTCTCTCTCTCTGTGTGTGTCTCTCCCTGTGTGTGTCTCTCCCTGTGTGTCTCTCCCTGTGTGTGTCTCTCTCTCTCTCTGTGTGTCTCTCTCTCTCTGTGTGTGTCTCTCTCTCTCTCTCTCTCTCTCTGTGTGTGTCTCTCTGTGTCTCTGTGTGTGTGTCTCTCTCTGTGTCTCTGTGTGTGTAGCCTGTGTGTGGGGCCCTGGTCCTGTGTGTGTGTGACAGGCTGGGGGGCTTCAGTGTGGAGCGCCCCCCCTTCCCCCGACCCCCTGCTGATCCCCCCCGAGCCCTGGCTGCTGCCGGGGTGCAGCTCCGTGTTCGACAGCCTGGTCAGGTGAGAAGATATTATTATTAAACAAAAATGTCAAACATCAGGCGTAACATCGCCAAAGCCTCCTCAGACCAACCTGTCTGTCCCCAACATCCTGTACTCGCTCCGTCCAATGCACCGACCCTGAACTGCTTCACGGAGCAAGCTGAGCTTTCAAAAACCATCTCAGCGATGACCTCATCTAGCTGCGCCCTTGATCCTATCCCCACCTCCCTACTGAAAGCCTGCTCTCCATCCATTATACCAACTGCTACCATCATAATAAACAGATCCCTGTTCAGTGGTGAGGTCCCCCCCCCTCCCTCAAGCTGGCAGCCATCAGACCGGTCCTGAAGAAGCACAACCTGGATCCTGAGGTACTCTCAAGCTACCGCCCCATCTCAAACCTGCCTTTTCTAGCTAAAGTTCTGGAACAAGTTGTTGCCCTTCCGCTTCACGAACATCTCCACACTCATGAGCTCTATGAAACCTTCCAGTTCCCCAAGCCTACTCATCTTGCTGGACTTAAGTGCAGCATTTGACCCTGTTGACCATCGCATCATGTGTCGGCGACTCCAGGAGGTGGGAATCGCTGGCTAGGCTCTGGACTTTTTCCACTCGTACCTCACAGGAAGACGGGAATATGTCCGTCTTGGAAAAAGCACCTCCGACACACACTGTCACCTCTGGTGTACCCCAAGGGTCAGTCCTTGGGCCACTGCTCTTTTTAATGTACATGTTGCCCCTGGGACAAATACTGAGGAGCCATAACATCAGCTTCCACACATATGCTGATGACACACAGATTTATTTCCAAACTGTCCCGGATAAACATCTGGCACTTTCAAAAGTCTCAAGATGTCTGGAACACATACACCACTGGATGAGCAACAACTCCCTCCAACTGAACAGCAGCGAATCAGAGGCCATTCTGATTGGAACACCACATCAAACACAAAAAACTGATATCCCTCATATCAGCATCAATGTCCACTCCATTCCCCTCTCCCCACTTGTAACGAGCCTAGGTGTGAAACTAGACTCATCCCTTTCATTCCAAGCACACATAAAGACGGTCTGCCAAGCCTCATACTACCACCTGAGGACCATCTCCAAACTGCGACACTCCCTCACCAAACCAGTCCGTGCCTTCATCACCTCCCGCATTGACTACTGCAATTCTCTGCTTGCAGGCATTCCAACAAAAACCACTCGGACTGCAATATGTACAAAACTGTGCCGCCCGGATACTCACCAAAACACGCAGATCAGAGCACATCACCCCCATCCTTCACTCCCTCCACTGGCTCCCTGTAACCCACCGGATCAACTATAAAGTCCTCATAATGGTCTTCAACGCCATCAACCACACTGGCCCCACCTACCTCCAGGAACTGCTAACCTGACAACACTCTCACACCTCACGCACACTCGGGTCAGCCCGCTCCAATCTCCTGTCCCGCGGACTGGTCAGCATGGAGAGCGTGCTTTCTCCTCCCTGGGTCCTCGTCAGCTTCCAGAGAACATACGGAGCTCTGCATCGACCCCCCGGAGAACATGCGGAGCTCTGCATCGACCCTCAAGAGAACATACGGAGCTCTTCATCGACCCTCAAGAGAACATACGGAGCTCTGCATGGACCCCCGGAGAACATACGGAGCTCTGCATGGACCCTCCGGAGAACATACGGAGCTCTGCATCGACCCTCCGGAGAACATACGGAGCTCTGCATCGACCCTCCGGAGAACATACGGAGCTCAAGACCCTCAAGACCCTCCTGTTCCGCATCTCACTGACTGTCCTTTACTTTATTTTATTTAAAATCTTTTATGCTCTTAACCTTTTAAAAGCAAATCTATATTACCATATTTTATTCAATATGCTCTTTTAGATATCTTTTGTTTTCTCCTCATAGCTTTGAGATGACGTTGTTTTTAAACTGTGCCATTTAATCAAATGTATTTATTTTTTATATATATCGTTTTTTATAGTTGTATTTTCATTTTAAATATTAATAAAAAGTGTTATAAACTGAAAATCTCGCCCTCCTCAGTAACGTGTCGCCGCTGCCGTCCCCTCCTCCCTCCAGAGGGCGAGAGAGAGCCAGCAACAAACCTCGCAGGTCAGTCAGCTTGTTGTTGTTTATTACTTAGGATATATATTTTAGATTTGTTGTGTTTTGAATATTCTGACTTTTTAATATTTGAGGATATTTATGAAACTGTGTTTCTGCAGGCCGTCCATCTTGGAGCGCTGCATCCCTCAAGGTGGTCGAGCAGCAGCGTCGCCGTGGAACGGACGACCTCGACCTCAAGAGGTCAGGATCAATATCAAGAATACAATTAACTCCTGTCTCTCTCTTTGAAACTCCTTTCCTGGTTTAGGAGAAAGATCCTTTTTTAAATGTTTGTTTACATTAATGCACATTTAGTTTTTCAAATATCAAATACATTATTTCAGTCAGGGATATATATAGTTTAAACAAACTACTGTGTATATGTGGTGTGTGTGTGTGTGTAGGAAACAGTTCAGTGTGAAGCTGGTTAACGAAAAGCAGCGTTTGATTAAACTGTTGTCATTGTGATGTGTTCTGACGGTGCAGACCCCCCCTGGAGCGCGGCGCCCCCCGCCTGCCGGACCACAGCGAGACCAACGGGGCCGTCCTGAAGCGCCGCCAGAAACAGATCCAGTACGGGAAGAACACCAGCGGATACCAGAACTATCTGCAGCAGGTCCCCCGGTAATGTATATATGTAATAATATACATACACATACTTAATATACTACAACCAGAACTACCTTTTTTATTTTTTTCCTTTTCTAACAATAACTTTTTTTTTTTACTGTTTCTCTGAAGAAGTTGTAATTTCAAAAGTTACAAAAACTAGAACCCTACATTTTCTCAGCAAAAAATTAAAATAGTCCAATTTTTATTTTCCAAAAATATAGAATTTGATGAATAACTCCAGATTTTGAACCATGTTAATCCCCCCTTCAGACCCCTGAGGGACGCTAAGCTCCACCCCTCAACCCCCAACAAGTACAGGAAGTACAGCCGGCGCTCCTGGGACATGCAGGTGCGTCTGTGGAGGAGAGCGCTGCACCTGTGGGACCCCCCCACCGATCACCTGGACCCCCCCGACTCCCAGGACCCCGTCGAGCAACTGTACGCTTTATTATTATTGTACATTTACAGGAAAGAAATACAGATAGTCAGCACGAGTATAATCTGGATATTTATGAGGAAAACATTTAAAATTAGTTTGTGAATAAAAATAAATTGTTTGTAGGCAGAACCAGCTGGCCAAGATGAACTCTGACCTCTGTGAGGACGGAGACAGGCAGAGAGAGAGAGAGCCTCCTGCCTCGAAAGCCGAGCCGCCCGGACCCTGGAGCCGCCCGCTGACCCCGGTAACAACAACATCTGTTTACATCCAGTAACCACAACTGTTTACATCCGCTGACCCCGGTAACATCTGTTTACATCCGCTGACCCCGGTAACATCTGTTTACACCTGCTGACCCCGGTAACATCTGTTTACACCCTCTGACCCCAGTAACAACAACTGTTTACACCCTCTGACCCTGTGTAACATGTTACCACCCTCTGACCCCAGTAACAACTGTTTACACCCTCTGACCCCAGTAACAACAACTGTTTACACCCTCTGACCCCGGTAACAACATCTGTTTACACCCGCTGACCCCGGTAACAACTGTTTACACCCTCTGACCCCGGTAACATCTGTTTACACCCTCTGACCCCGGTAACATCTGTTTACACCCTCTGACCCCGGTAACATCTGTTTACACCCTCTGACCCCAGTAACAACTACTGTTTACACCCTCTGACCCCAGTAACAACTGTTTACACCCTCTGACCCCGGTAACATCTGTTTACACCCTCTGACCCCGGTAACATCTGTTTACACCCTCTGACCCCGGTAACATCTGTTTACACCCTCTGACCCCGGTAACATCTGTTTACACCCTCTGACCCCGGTAACATCTGTTTACACCCTCTGACCCCGGTAACAACATCTGTTTACACCCTCTGACCCCGGTAACAACATCTGTTTACACCCGCTGACCCCAGTAACATCTGTTTACACCCGCTGACCCGGTAACAACAACTGTTACACCCGCCTCTGACCCGGTGGTAAACAACAAACTGTTTACACCCTCTGACCCCGGTAACAACATCTGTTTACACCCGCTGACCCCAGTAACATCTGTTTACACCCGCTGACCCCAGCAACAACTGTTTACACCCTCTGACCCCGGTAACAACTGTTTACACCCTCTGACCCCGGTAACAACTGTTTACACCCTCTGACCCCGGTAACAACACATCAGATAAAGATCAAATGTAAAACGCACTCGAGGAAACTGAGACCCTGTAAGGAAGTATTTTCATAATAAAGTCAAAAAGTCCAGAATATTTTCAAAACAAAGTCTAAATGTCGGAATTGTCCTTCGAAGAGAGTTGAACCTGTCCTTTCAGAATAAAGCTTAAATATCCGGAGCATTTTCACAAAACGTCAAAATATCAGATTTTTGTTTTTTCCAGAATAAATTGTGATTTACTGGAATATTTTCAAAATAAGGTTTAAATCGTGGGAATATTTTCAAGCTGAATGAAAGCTAACAGGACAATACTTTAGACCTTAAAATGAAATGTATAAAATGTCACCAGGCCATAACTGTGGTCTCTTGTCTCTCCAGACGAGGCGCTGCCCCCCCGGTCTTGGGTCCTTCAGGACTCTGAACTCCAGCGACAACATGGCCGACTGGTTGCAGCTGCTGCTGGAGGCCGAGGGCCGGCAAGGTGAGGAGCCCTTTAACTCTTCAAACACCGGGGTAAATGTCTAGTGGGGTAAAAGTCTATTTTATTTGCTGGCATTAGCATTAGCCGAGTGTACCAACGGAAGCTGCTGGGAGTCCCAGCAGCTTCCACTGAAGCCTTCCCCAACTCCGGGGACTTCCGTCCGGGGACTTCGGGTGGCAGTATACGCCGTGAAGTGGTTTGCGGCCTGCCAGTAAACCCAGAGCAGAAGAAGTGACGTCAGCGGCTTCATTTGCCTAATCCTCCCTCAGGGAACTTATTCCGGTGTGAACGCGATCTGTACTTAGTTCATGAGAACTAAAGAGTTCTCATGAACTAAAGAGTTCTCATGAACCTTTGTGGGAAAAGTACTTGGTGTGAAAGCGCCTTTTATTATTCAGCATACCTTTATTATTCCCACTGAAGGAAACTTTGCATTTGTCACCAAGAAAATGGCCAAAGACGGCTTTAATATTACCCAAGAAGCATGCGTTAAAACATATTAAAGTTCTTAGACGTGTACATATTGCAGTCCATTGGTGTTTAGCAGCGAGGGGTGTCGCAGTCTGTGTTGACCGTGAATCGGGTAATACAGAATCTTTAACGTTAACCTCGTTTTTCTTTGTCGTTCAGATTTCCCTGTTTTCCCGTTGGAGTTCGGCTCCAACGACCAGCAGGTTCCCGACTTCTCCGACCAGCTGTGGACTCCGTACTGACGTCTGAGGAAACGCTCGATCGACGAAGATCAGGAGAGTTTGTGTGTTTGTCTTTTTTAAGATGGTTGAAGGTTTCCTAACGACAGCAGGGATGTGATTGGTCCCGAAGAGCACGTAGGCCCCGCCTCCTCTCTGGTCCTGAAGAGCACGTAGGCCCCGCCTCCTCTCTCAGCGTTGACCTATCGCGCTCCTTTAGTTTGTGTCACTTTGTTTACTTGCCTCGATGGAGCACTTCTCACCTGCACACCTTTAGTATTAAGACTCTCACTGATGAAGCGGTTTGTTTTAGTCTCACCTGTCCGTCTCACCTGTCCAACTCACCTGTCTCTGGTCCACGGTCACGCTCTGCTGTCTGCCCCCTGCTGTGTTTTTTCTAAAAAACAAAACCCTGTCTAATTGGGTGGGGGCTGTCACTTTGTGTTTTACTTTTTTTTTTGTCGTTTTGTGCTGAAATGTGATTAATAATAAAGATGGAAATAAAGTGTTAGAAATTCACCTGGTTTCTTCTTCTGTTATGTGGTTGTAGAGTTGGGAGAAAGAGGCGGGACTAAAGTGGGGATTTAAAAGGTTTCAAAATGTCTCAATATTAGAATAAAAAGGGACTTGAAGCACCTCCCACAACGTTTAAATGTCCAAACATTTCAGAATAACGATAAAATATATATATTAGGAATATTTTCAAAATAATGTCTAAAGGTCAGGATGAAGTCGAAATGTATAGCTTTCCAAAGAATGCCTGCATTTAGACATTTCTCTGAGGAACTGGATATTTTACCTCACAAATAACAATATGTTCTCTCGCCTCCCCATTGGCTGCAGCGGGCTTCCATAGTACAGACCGCATGTGCTGTAAACAACCTCAGCCTCTGAACTACAACTCCCAGCAGCCCCGGCGGCAGCAGCACAGCTCTTATGTTCTGTTTGCTGCTGAATTATATTTAAAAAAAAAAAAACGTTATATTTGTGGTAAATAAACCGCTCGGTTATCAACCGAGTGTTTTATGATATAGATCGGGTGAGTGGCAGGTGCGGTGCGGGGTGATGCGGTGCAGCCCCCCCCCCCCTCCCCCCGCCTGGCACCGTAAACCTTATTTATGAATGCCTGCCGCTCACGGGCGTGTGCACGCAGATCCGTTATTATCATGCTGTAATAATCACCGGAGAACGGACAGTTTCTGCAGCGGGTGTTCAAGAGCATCCCGGAGCCCGGTGAGCGCGAGGGAATCTGGACTTTGATTCATTTCGGTGCATTTTGGTGCTGAGCGGCGGCGGCGCGGCGGAGCGGCAGGAGCGGCAGGCGGAGCGGCGCTTCAGTAACACCGGGTCAAAGAGAGCTGCTTTCTACACACAGCGGACCCGAACCGGACCCACACCGACCGGCACCGACACCCCGGTAAGGTGAGCCTTCAGCCGGGGAGAGGGAGCGGTGTAACGCCGGTGGTCTGCCGCTGCAACACCGCGCTGTTCGCCGCGAACACAGCGCATAGGCCCGGACACACGCTGCCCCCCCCCCCCCCCCCCCCCCGGTGTTATTATGGTTGTTATAATGGTTCTGGTTCTGTTAGGGAATCAGCCTTTAGACCTGGGGTTTTTATTCAGAAACACTAATGTGAGGCGAGAGGGGAACCGAGCAGATCCCGTGTGATTACACCGCGTTTGTTTCTAACGCTGCTAGCATGCTAACAGTTAGGTCAGTTAGCCACCGTTAGCGGAGCTGGTGAAGCCCATATTTGGAAATTCCGTAGCGGCCAAACGGGGGTACTACAGCTCACGTGACGTCATTTTGGCCCAAAAAGACTTTTCCCCATTGACTTACATTAGGAAAGAAACGTCTGTAAATCAGCGGATATTTTTTTTTATCTAAATAAACTCCCCAGGGCGAACTCTTATATATCCCTTACTTAAAATGTATTATTGTAGAAGTTGTAAAATGCTCTAAAAGCTGAATCCATAGGTATCTTATCTCTCCATTCATTTGACTCTCAGAGAGCGGGAGATCGGGGGCGGGGCTTAAGGGAAATCTTCATTGCGCACGCTCAGTGGGCCCACATACGGGTACTTATCGCTTCATTGTTGCTTCACACGCCTCTGAGCAGCTCCCATAGGAATGAACCGGGTCTCTTTTCACCTCCATGGTTTCTGCCCGTTAGCCGCGCAGACCGGAGCAGCGCGGCCGGGATTCAGCACCTCTGAGGCGGGGAAACAATCCTCCGTGAGCCGGTCTGTTCCACAGAGCAAAATGGCTGAGTTTATTGTGCCGACCTTGAAAATAATAATGACATATTATTTATAGTAACTGCTAAGGTAATATAAGAGGTTGCTATAATATTACATGTTAATTATTTTTTATTTTATTGTAGTTTATATTTTGTATCATTTATTCTGCTCTATAACTGGGGGATACAGCCACATCGGGAGTGTTAGCATTCCTCATTGAAAACAATGGGATGTGTTAGCAACGAGCTAACAGCAGCCGGAGGCCCTGAGCTGGGATCTACAAAATAAAGCGAATTGTGGGAAATCTTTTCAAAATAAATTCTATATGTGAGGAATAAAATACAATCTAAATGTAAAGGCTGAAATATTTGCAAAATTAATTCAAAATGATAGGAATATTTTCAAAATAAAGTCGATCTGTCTGTAATATTTTCAAAATAAGGTCAAAATATTAGGGATATTTTCAGATAAAAGTATCCCAAATAAATATCCTAAAATCTGACTGTTTTAAGGCAGAAATCCTAAAATGTAAAGGCTTTATTTTGCTCCATAAAGATGAAGTAGTTATTTTCTAAAAGGCTCAGAAATTATTTTGTTTAAGGACGGAAATTATTTTAATAATCTATTAATCTGCTGATTATTTTCTACATTAATGTCAAACAATATTGATCCCAGATTTCTTAAACCCGAGCTGATGTGTTTAAAGATATTACAAATATTCACTCTTATGTTACCCGCTAAAGACAAAACCCTGATATAGAAATAACTTCACCTTCATATGATCAATAACTTCACCCTCATATGATCATTAATGCTTCATTTGCAGATTCAGTCCTGTAATCATCCAGGATGTTTATAATCAGTAAAGGTAGTGGTAATATAATAATATTAGATTTCATTTATATAGCGCTTTCAAGACACACAGCTACGCTTTACAAAAGTCACATTTAACAAACTCCTGCTGATGTTCAGGTGTGTATCAGTATGTAGTGTCTCTACTTTAAAGAGTCCTCTCCTGCTGATGTTCATGTGTATATCAGTATGTAGTGTCTCTACTTTAAAGAGTCCTCTCCTGCTGATGTTCAGGTGTATATCAGTGTGTAGTGTCTCTACTTTAAAGAGTCCTCTCCTGCTGATGTTCAGGTGTATATCAGTATGTAGTGTCTCTACTTTAAAGAGTCCTCTCCTGCTGATGTTCAGGTGTATATCAGTATGTAGTGTCTCTACTTTAAAGAGTCCTCTCCTGCTGATGTTCAGGTGTATATCAGTATGTAGTGTCTCTACTTTAAAGAGTCCTCTCCTGCTGATGTTCAGGTGTATATCAGTATGTAGTGTCTCTACTTTAAAGAGTCCTCTCCTGCTGATGTTCAGGTGTATATCAGTATGTAGTGTCTCTACTTTAAAGAGTCCTCTCCTGCTGATGTTCAGGTGTTTATCAGTATGTGATGTCTCTACTTTAAAGAGTCCTCTCCTGCTGATGTTCAGGTGTATATCAGTATGTAGTGTCTCTACTTTAAAGAGTCCTCTCCTGCTGATGTTCAGGTGTATATCAGTATGTAGTGTCTCTACTTTAAAGAGTCCTCTCCTGCTGATGTTCAGGTGTATATCAGTATGTAGTGTCTCTACTTTAAAGAGTCCTCTCCTGCTGATGTTCAGGTGTATATCAGTATGTAGTGTCTCTACTTTAAAGAGTCCTCTCCTGCTGATGTTCAGGTGTGTATCAGTATGTAGTGTCTCTACTTTAAAGAGTCCTCTCCTGCTGATGTTCAGGTGTGTATCAGTATGTAGTGTCTCTACTTTAAAGAGTCCTCTCCTGCTGATGTTCAGGTGTATATCAGTATGTAGTGTCTCTACTTTAAAGAGTCCTCTCCTGCTGATGTTCAGGTGTTTATCAGTATGTAGTGTCTCTACTTTAAAGAGTCCTCTCCTGCTGATATTCAGGTGTATATCAGTATCAAATCAAATCAAATCAAGTTTTATTTATGAAGAACATTTAAAAGCGATTTTTGGTCGAGCCAAAGTGCTGTACATGTAATAAAAACACATTACTACAATCACAATAAAAGACAATAAATTACAACAGATATATATAAAAAATAAAAATAAAACACAAGGAAAAGTCAGGAGTCGTGCTCCGCTCTAACTAGAAGGCCAGAGAGAAGAAGTGTGTTTTTAGTTTTGATTTAAAAACCCCTAGGGTCTGGGCCGACCTCACATGGAGGGGCAGAGTGTTCCAGAGCCTAGGGCCAGCTGCTGCGAAGGCTCGGTGCCCTCGGGTTTTAAGCCTGGTCTTGGGCACTACCAGCAGCAGCTGGTCAGCAGACCTTAAAGCTCTGGCTGGGGTGTAGCGCTGGAGGAGTTCAGCTATATAGGCCGGAGCCAGCCCATTTAGTGCTTTAAAAACAAATAAAAGGATTTTAAAATCAATTCTGAACTGAACTGGAAGCCAGTGTAGTATGTAGTGTCTCTACTTTAAAGAGTCCACTCCTACTGATATTCAGGTGTATATCAGTATGTAGTGTCTCTACTTTAAAGAGTCCACTCCTACTGATATTCAGGTGTATATCAGTATGTAGTGTCTCTACTTTAAAGAGTCCTCTCCTGCTGATGTTCAGGTGTATATCAGTATGTAGTGTCTCTCCTTTAAAGAGTCCTCTCCTGCTGATGTTCAGGTGTATATCTGTATGTAGTGTCTCTACTTTAAAGAGTCCTCTCCTGCTGATGTTCAGGTGTTTATCAGTATGTAGTGTCTCTACTTTAAAGAGTCCTCTCCTGCTGATGTTCAGGTGTATATCAGTATGTAGTGTCTCTCCTTTAAAGAGTCCTCTCCTGCTGATGTTCAGGTGTATATCTGTATGTAGTGTCTCTACTTTAAAGAGTCCTCTCCTGCTGATGTTCAGGTGTATATCAGTATGTAGCGTCTCTACTTTAAAGAGTCCTCTCCTGCTGATGTTCAGGTGTATATCAGTATGTAATGTCTCTACTTTAAAGAGTCCTCTCCTGCTGATGTTCAGGTGTATATCAGTATGTAGTGTCTCTACTTTAAAGAGTCCTCTCCTACTGATGTTCAGGTGTATATCAGTATGTAGCGTCTCTACTTTAAAGAGTCCTCTCCTGCTGATGTTCAGGTGTATATCAGTATGTAGTGTCTCTACTTTAAAGAGTCCTCTCCGTAGTGATCTCACCATGTTCCGTATGTAAACAATACATTTTATTTCTCTGCTTCCTCTGCAGGTGCGTTACCGGGGGCAACAGCTGACTGAGGATGTGTATGTGAGAGTGGGCGGGGCTACCTGGCCCTGAGTGACGGAGGAGGCGGAGTCTCAGCTCACAGACACACAGAGGGGCGTGGCCTCTCCCCCCCTCCTCCCCCTTCTCCCTCCCCCCCCCCCCCTCCCACCACCATGCTGTGGTCTTTCTGCTGGGGGAGGGCCTGACGACGCAGGACTCTGGAAGGAAACCCTGCTCCGCCAGGGGACTCACACCTGGTGAGACACACACACACACACACACACACACACACACACACACACACACTCACACACACAAACACACACTCACACACACCTGCAGACACACACACACACACACACACACACACACACACACACACACCTGCAGCATCACACACACACCTGCATCACACACACACATGCAGCATCACACACACACACCTGCATCACACACACACACCTGCATCACACACACACACACCTGCATCACACACACACACACCTGCATCACACACACACACACACACACACACACACACACACACACACACACACACACACACTCACACACCTGCAGCATCACACACACACCTGCATCACACACACACATGCAGCATCACACACACACACCTGCATCACACACACACACCTGCATCACACACACACACACACCTGCATCACACACACACACCTGCATCACACACACACACACACACACACACACACACACACACACACACACACACACACACTCACACACCTGCAGCATCACACACACACATACATACACACACACACACACACACACACACACACAGAAACACACACACAGAAAACACACACACACCTGCAGCATCAAACACACACACACACACACACACACACACACACACACACACACACACACACACACACACACAGAAACACACACCACACACAGAAAACACACACACACCTGCAGTGTGCATTGTGATGCGTTCAGGCTCTATTCAGTCAAATTGATAATTGTGTGAAGGTAAATTATAACGTAACGATCTGTTTGTGTTTTAATCCGTATTTTAACTGAAGTGTGTTTGTGTGTCAGTCCCTGCTGGACCCCAACAGCCTCGCAGAGCTCAGGACCCCAGATGGCTTGATGCCTGGTGAGTGTTCAGCATGAGTCAGCATTATGAGTCCTGAACCCTGACATGAGTCAGCATTATGAGTCCTAAACCCTGACCTGAGTCAGCATTATGAGTCCTAAACCCTGACATGAGTCAGCATTATGAGTCCTAAACCCTGACCTGAGTCAGCATTATGAGTCCTAAACCCTGACCTGAGTCAGCATTATGAGTCCTGAACCATGACATGAGTCAGCATTATGAGTCCTAAACCCTGACATGGGTCAGCATTATGAGTCCTAAACCCTGACCTGAGTCAGCATTATGAGTCCTGAACCCTGACATCAGCATTATGAGTCCTAAACCCTGACATGAGTCAGCATTATGAGTCCTAAACCCTGACCTGAGTCAGCATTATGAGTCCTAAACCCTGACATGAGTCAGCATCATGAGTCCTAAACCCTGACATGAGTCAGCATTATGAGTCCTAAACCCTGACCTGAGTCAGCATTATGAGTCCTAAACCCTGACATGAGTCAGCATTATGAGTCCTAAACCCTGACCTGAGTCAGCATTATGAGTCCTAAACCCTGACATGAGTCAGCATTATGAGTCCTAAACCCTGACATGAGTCAGCATTATGAGTCCTAAACCCTGACCTGAGTCAGCATTATGAGTCTTAAACCCCTTCGGAACAGCTCTATAAAAGTCCCATGTATGATGATGATGATGATGATGATGATGATGATGATGATGAAGGGTTGTCCTCTCTCCTGCAGAGAGCAGTTACTGGCAGCTCTGCCCTCCCTCCTCTAAATCTGGCCTGCAGGGGGGGTTACTGAGCTCTAGTTTCCCCCCCGGCCCCAATGCTCACCTGCAGGAGGGCGTCTCCCGCCTGGACCCCCCCCCTCTGGCCCCTCCCCCTCCTCCTCTGGCTCCTCCCCCTCCGCCCCCCCCCTCCCCCTAAAAGGCACTGTCGCTCCCTCTCAGTACCTGAGGATTTATCTCGCTGTCGATACACCTGGAGACCGAGCGCCTCGAGGGTCTGGACCCCTGTCAGCAGGACCCCCTGCCATGGGGGCGGGGTTGGGGGTGGGCCTTATTCATCAGGGGGAGGAGCCTCTTCATCAATGGGAGGAGCCTGTCGCGCCCCAAGCTCCTCCCTGAATTCGTCCCTTCACTCCTCGTCTTCGCCCACCTTCTTCAGTCTGGCGTTATCTCCGGACAGCCCGTTGCCATGGAGCTTCCCGTGGGACCCCAGTGAAGCGGCGTCAGGGGGCGGAGCCTGTTGCTGCTTCTTCCCGTCATCCTGTAGCTCCTCCCCCTCCCCTTTGATCCCGCCCCCTCCCCCTCAGAGGCGTTTCTCCCTCTCCCCGGTGTTGATCAGAGACTCTTTAGGGGGGGCGTCGTCGTCCACTTCGTCCTTTTTGCCGCCACACCCCCCTCCGATTAGGCCACGCCCCCCCAGTGTGACAGCGGGAGGGGGCGGGGCTCTAATGGGCGCCTCCCCCTCCTCGGCATGCAGCACCCCCTCCTCCCTGAGGCGCTCCCTGCCCCCCCCCTTGCCTCGCTGCCACTCACAGCCCTGCGACCTCCTGCTGCTCAAACCCGGGCTAAAGAGGCGCCGCGACCCCGAGCGCCCCCCCCGCACGCCCCCTGCTGGACTTCACCAAGATGACACAGGTACTGAAGTTCATAATGTCTCAACACCTGACGTTTTACTAAATGTACAGTGGGATGTTAAGTCCAGTTATCAAGAGAAGCGATGGAGCAGTAGATTTGACGCCTATAGTCTCAAGGCGCATTTCCACCGCAGGGCCTCGCTCGACTTAGTACGGTTTTGTTAGGCCTTGTTAAGCCTCGTTAGGCCCAGCTCACTTTATGCTGCGCTTCCATTACAGTTCAGTAGCTGGGGCAGTATCTATAGTAACGCAGTGTAGGCGGAGCCGTGACTTCATCTTCAATGAGCACCCCAGAAAAACAACATCAGCCGTTAGCTGTTAGCACTCAGAGCTCACAGCTCCTCATATCTGTTCAGAAACTAGACACAAGTGAAACAAGTACACACCACAGACTGTCTGTGTCATGGCGAATACAGTCGCTGGTTTATTTATGTCTGTAGGCCGTTGTTGTGAGTGTGGACGGTCGGAGCATATACAACGTTAGCTTAGCTGATCTCCATTTAGAAAACACGCATTTTAAAAGGTGTTTCGCCTGCCGTCTGTCTGCAGACTTGTCAAAGCATTAATTCATAGTTTTTACTAACCTGTATCAGTATGTTGTTACTTCGGCATAATTTTGAAACGTGTATTACAATTAAATCACGGTCAAATATGTTCATCTTGTTGTAGTTGTAGCCCCCTTGCCAGCGATTCTCTCTCTAGTTTAGCAAACTCAGCCCGACTCAGCCTGTTTGTTGGCCCCGATAGAACCACGATTTTGTCGGGCCAGAAAAAAGGTGAAAAAGTAGCCCCGGGCCGGAACTAGGCCTAGTGGAAACGCAACCAAAAATGGGCACGACACGGCACGCTTAAACCGCGCTCCGCGCCATGGTGGAAATGCGCCATAATACTCTGAAACTAAAGACCTGGTCCGCTCCTGAGAGGTGAGCTTATATCCTTCTCTTGGGATCTGACTAATTACTGGAAGTCTATGGAACAGATGCCGTGTTGACGTTACATACTTGGGCGTATTAGGAAGATTTCAGGTAAAGCTTATATCTTACAAAAGTCTGGGAAAGAGGGAAATGATCTCATAGAAATGCAACTGTTCTTTTGCTAAAGGAAGCACATGGCTTCACGAGGTTTATTGATCAAATATCTGTTATTCTTCATCAAAGTGTACTCAAAGCCGTTCATACCCCGCTCTATTCCACAGATCTTAAGGGTCTCTTTGCAGGTTAATGTCGTGTCAAATGATCATATAATCATTTAAAACATACAGTCTTATACTAGATGACACAGGTGTATCACGGTTCAGTAGATATTAAACACAGGTAACTCATGTCTCAACACCGTTTATTATACGGTTACATGCCGCCTTACATTAGCACGTTGCCCATAAACTACATGTCCCACAATGCATCTCATTTTGTGACACTACCCTAGACTTCTGCTTTCAGACGAAGTTAATTATGAAGTTATTACCCTATTATTGTATACACTGGACCCCAGGTCACCTGGTTGATACAAGTCTCTGATGGACCCCCTGCTCCTTCATGGTGTCTTTATTATTACGTTTGACTCTGAACACACGTCGGGAACAGAACCTGAAATAGAGAAATGCTTACCAGGTTTTTGCTGGTTGTACTTTATCTACATGACTGTACCTAATGTTACTCTGATCCGGTTACTTATGTTGTGGCAGATATTTAAGTAAGCTTTCTTAACGCTAATGTTATAATAGTCAGATTGCTCTGAAGATGGGAGGTGATATTCTATTAATTTTCACGTTCACACAGTCGGTGATTTTGGCCGGCCGTCTTTCTGTATTTCCTCTATCCTGTAATATGAATTGATCGCTTTAAACTCTGCACACTGTTGTTATCAGCTGTTCCACCATGGTTGCTACCTCAACCTGTAATAGATTTATCCTTATTGAAACAGTCTGAGGACAAGGATTTAACATGGACATTAAATAAATCAACAGTAGGTGGCGATATATGCTCCAAGTGGAAGCAATTCGCCATTAAAGCAAAGAAGAAAAAGAACTCCGCACAGTTGATCTTTTATCCTGGAACCTATCCTGCTCCGGAGGCTAGCCGTTCAGCATAAGTTATCTAGTTAAAGAAAGCTTACTTAAATATCTGCCACAACATAAGTAACCGGATCAGAGTAACATTAAGTACAGTCCGCGGCACTGTGAGTGCAGACCTCGATGTGTCCCATTATCATTCATATCATATCACATCATAATGTATCATATATTTCCTTATCTGAGTCAGCTTCTTGAGCCGTATCTGGCCGTGCAACACTCACAGTGTCACATACTGTATGCAGAAGTATTATTTTAAGCAACACATTAAGTTGACGAAACACTCGAGTCAAATGTAATTAAAGTCAGATCCACTCGTGTCTTGGACGGGGCAGTGATATCATAAACCTGTTGATGTACGCATTCAAACACTTTTTCTGTTACCAGCTGTATTCACCTTGCAGGTGCAGCTATGTGGCTTTGATCCTGGATAAAGTGTTTAAGTCATGGATGTTTAAAGTTTAACTTCTTCATATTTGACTAATATTATAGTTGACTTTTCATTCAGGAAGTATGACGCTGCGCTGTCAGTACGCTAGTCCATGTTTGTGATTGGTCGAATGCTCCAAATACCACACCTTTCATGTGAACGCGCACCTAACTAGATAGGACACGGCTCGCTTGCGATCGAGTTGATAACCAGCGTCGTAGGACAGCTTAGCGAGAGCGCGTATGTTTTGGATTAGGCCAACCGGCTAACTCAAACATATCCAGGTTATGTTGAACTAGATTCGTAGTACAGGCCCCAGGTTAGCCGCTCAGCATCAGTTGCCATGGAGATCTAGCCCGCTAAGAAGAGAACCAGCGTCGTAGGAAACCCAGAGTTTACCTGAAGTTAGCTCGCTAAGCCAAAATCCGGCTTCGTCGTACAGAGGCCTCTGGTGTTCAGGGTGTGGTTGTTTACTAGTTGTATCTTTATTTATCTCGTTTGTTGTTGTTGTTGTTGTTATTGTTTGTTGTGGTTGTCTCTAAAGTTGTTGTCTCTGCTGCCCCCCTGATCCCCCTCTATATTTTTTTTAATGTTCTCTTTATTATTAAGTTTGATAAACTATCACATGTTGGGAATCAAACATAGAGTAATGGTTACCAGTAGCTGGTTTGTTGTTGTTGTTGTTGTTGTTGTTGATGTGTCTCTGCTCGCCCTCAGACGCGCAGCATGGACCCTCAGGCTCTGGACCGATGTGGCGGCCGGCTGCTCTGCGGCGTGGACCTCTCCGCCGGCATGGAGTCGTTCCTCGGAGACTTCAGACGCTCCTGCTCTCCGGCCGAGTGTCTGGGACGCAACAGCATCGGGCCGCTGAGTGAGAGCGACGAAGAGGAGTGCCGTGAAGACGAGGAGGAAGAGGAGGAAGACGATGGTGATGAAGAGGAGGAGGCGGCGGCGGCGGCGCAGCAGAACGTCTTCGAGAGAGACTGTACAGAACTGGACCTGAACTTGATAGAGGAAAACTGAGGCGTTTGTAAATGAAGGCTGTCTCTCTCTGTTTTTTTATTTGTTTTTTTTTTAAGCCCCTCCCCCACCCCCTCCCCTTCTTCATCGTCTCCTTGCCACCAATCAGCAAGGCTCTCAGGAACAACGCCTCCTCTCATTGGATGAGCCGGGGGAAACAGGACGACAGTGATGATGTGAAGCTGCCGCGAGAAGAGAGGTTTCAACAGTAACTCCGGGAGGACCTGCAGACACCTGGAGCGTTAGCGTGTAGCGTTAGCATGTAGCGTTAGTGTGCATTGTTAGCATAAGTGTGCAGTGTTAGCGCACAGTGTTAACCTGCAGCGTTAGTCTGCAGCTTTAGCGTGCAACGTTAGCCTGCAGTGTAAGCATGTAGCGTTAGAGTGCATTGTTAGCGTGTAGCGTTAGCCTGCAGCGTTAGCGTGCATTGTTAGCGTGTAGCGTTAGCGTGTAGCGTTAGTCTACAGTGTTAACCTGCAGCGTTAGCGTGCATGTTTAGCGTGTAGTGTTAGCGTGTAGCGTTAGCGTGCATTGTTAGCGTCTAGCGTTAGCATGCAGGTAGCTTGGTCTGGGCGTCCCGGTGTCTTCCAACTTGCAGCTGCTGAGTCTCAATCTGAGGAGGCGCCACCTGCCATCAAACACACACAAACACACACACACACACACACACAAACACACACAAACACACATACACACACACATACACTGGGCGTGGCGTCGGCCCTCAGACTGCAGGCAGCCACTGATGCTGTCGTTCACCTGAGTGTTCACACATTCCTGTTCATCCACTCACTGTGTGTGTGCGTGTGTGTGTGCGTGTGTGTGTGTGTGTGTGTGTGTGTGTGTGTGTGTGTGTGTGTGTGCGTGTGCGTGTGGTGGTCATGTGACTTGTGTCCAGATTAAATCCAGATATTTATTTTTATATTTATTAATTTCTCGTTATGATATCTTTGGTGATTATTAATTGATTTATTTCAGATCACTGCATCATATTTATTTTCACTGCTAGTACTTGAAGTGATAACTTACATCACAACATTTTTTATATCTTATTTATATAATTTTTAATATATTTAACAGGCCGATCATTCAGTTTGAATTTGCAGAAAACTTCAGATCTTTTATAGGTGTTATTCTCTGGGTTTAATCTGGACTCTGCTGTGATTTGACTCCAGATGTAATTTCTGATTTGTTTTTCCCCTGAAAAAGAACAAAATGCACGTCAAAGGTCTCCGAGCGTCCGCTGCACTGAAGTTATTTACATGTTTTTCTACTGAGAATCACATTCCTGCTGATAACCCCCCCGACCTGCAGAGAGATGATCGTCACAGCCGGTTCATTTACCTTTTCAATAGGTGTGTTAGTGGGGGATCTACTCCAGTCCAATCAGTCACCTGTAGACGATGTATTGATTCATGGTTTTAGGCCTTTTTCGAGCAGATTTGTGAAATAATTTGGGATTTTCTTCAAATGAAGCCCTTATTTGGTTGGTTGGGCTTCTGGTAAAACAATATCTTTGAAGAAGATGTAACGGCCGTTTCATAGACATACAAGTTTTGGATTATTAAAAATTACCTGCTGATTAATTCATAATAAAAACATCTCCTAAATGAAAACATAATTCCCCCCATGTTCCTAAATCTGGAAAGTGTTTTTTCCAGCTGACACTAAACACAACGTGATGCATTCAAGGACACTCAACATCGGAGAGTCGATGGTCAGCTGCTGGAAAATAAAAAGGTTAAGAGACTGAAACCCCAGAAGACAAAGTAAACAGAAACATAATTTGAAAAACAAATGGATCATGTTTGAAAGACTCAGATGTCCAATTGTCCCTGAATGCACCTAAAGGGTAAATTAATTTCGGCTGTGACGGATCGTCGTCATTTATTTATAATCGTGGCGACTTTACTGTTACATTTACAGACGTTTAGTTTGAACGGCAGCGACGTCACTTTGTAAGATTGTTTTCTGTTTCTTCTTCTCCGTCTAATGTCAGCGTCACATCGGTGAGGGGGGGGGAAATGTACAAAAAAAAAGAAGTATTTTTGAACTGAAAAACATCCTCACTGTTAAAGGGAGCAGTTCAACATTTAGAGAAACTCTTTTTAAGGTGAGGTCAGTTTGCTAAGAGCTAACGTCTTAGCGTCACATGCTACCTGTTAGCATCACGTGCTGAAAATCTGAAATTATAACTTAGGCTCAGTTCACACAAATCTACAAAACATTTAGGAATGAAAAATAAAAACTGCAATGTTTTCCAGGAATGTCCCCGTAACACACATATACAAACACAGCATCCCCGTAACACATATATACAAACACAGCATCCCCGTAACACACATATAAACACAATGTCCCCGTAACACACATATACAAACACAGCATCCCCGTAACACACATATACAAACACAGCATCCAAGTAACACACATATATAAACAATGTCCCCGTAACACATATATACAAACACAATGTCCCCGTAACACACATATACAAACACAGTGTCCCCGTAACACACATACAAACATAATGTCCCTGTAAAACACATATATACAAACACAATGTCCACGTAACAAACATATACAAACACAATGTCCCTGTAACACACATACAAACACAATGTCCCTGTAACACACATATACACACAGCATCCCCATAGCATTAATTGTTTTTCAGCAACCTTTAGATAAAACTACGCGCACTTACGTATTATTCTTATCTTTAACGCAGTTTAAAATACAATCAACACTAAAAAACAGGTTACATTAAGAACTAATTACCCTTTCAAGCTAGCTAACTTGTGAATCGACCATGCTAATCGCTAATGCTAATTGCTAGCATACACATTGCATGTAAAATCAAATTCACAAATGTTAATTATAGTTAATACTGTATTTGTCACAATAACAGACTATTCACAGCACTTAAGCCTAAACATAATTCTTTATAGCCGGCATGCTAGCAAATAACGCTAGCTTTCAGCATATGCACTTCTCAAGCTAATTGAAAGGCTAATGGCTATCGTTAGCAGTAATTTAAATCCACAGCTAAACCTCAGTAACAGACCGAGCCCGGACGTTCATGTGGTGTTTTTACATGTTTCTTAAACCAGTGTAGCATGAGAGCATGGTGGAATTTAGCTAACTAGCCACCCGCTAAATGAGGTAATAAAAGTACTAGCCAATCAGAGCCCGTTAAACACAGCGTTAGGTTTACATCTCGAGCTGGCTGTAAAAACTATCAATGCCTCCCTGTAACACACACACACACACACACACTCTCGCTCCTGGTTTCATGGGTCTGTTTGTTTCCATCGCTCCATCGCCTTACTGAACATATTATTCTGTAAATCAAAACGTTAAAAAAGGAACGAGGTGATCGGAGAGGAGGAGTTTACTGTAGCTGTTTTTAGTCCCTCTGTTCTTTATGTTCTGCTGTTCTTTCTTAATATTTCTAATCTGATGTCTGAGCGCGACGACGAGTCGGCGATGAAACGCATCGTGAGAAAATAAAAAATAGAAGCTTCCGGACGTTAGCGGAGGATCGGGGTTGTACAAAGTTAGCGGAGAGACTCGGACTTCTCTTGTCTTTTAGAAATGTTTTTTATTGTATGTGATTAAAAAAAAGAAAAAAAAGAACAATGACAACATGGCAATTTGAAAAAGCAGTTTGTGAATAAATTAAGTTTATTGAGAATTATTTTACAAAGAAAGGGGAAAACTGGTGTCCTGTGTTTATTTCCATCCGTTTGGATTAAATGTTGTTTAGATCAATAACAGGAGATTAGGAGGTTATTATTCACAGCAGGTAAGAAAGGGTGGAATATTGTTGCAAATGTTTGAATAATAGTAAATAATTTACACAAACATTAACATTTTACAACAAAGATGATAATAATATGGCAATAAAGAAACTTTATTTGACATTATTTAAAGAAATATGCAAACTCAGTTGCATTTTTTAAGTCAAAATGTTAATAATCAGAATAATTCAGATTTATGTGAATAAAGCAAATGTATTCCAAAAATAATATTGTGGTTTAGAAAAGGGACAATAATGTAAGACATGTAGAGAAAATGTGAAAACTTAAACTTCACTTTAAGAAGTTAAAACAAAATGAGAACAAAAATATATTTTATTACAAAATACTACAAGAAAAAAGTTGCAATTCAGAAGAAAAAGATTATTTAAAAATCCAATACGATTGGATGAGAAGAAACACAAGGATTTTAGTCTTTACAGACCATTTACATGCACTAACACCTGCTATATAACAGAGAGTTTAAATGTGCTAATTAAAATACATCTTCAGTTTAAGAGAAAGTCAAACTCAACAAAAAGTCAAATATAAGAAAAGTCACACTTTAATGTACATGAGATACTTGTTTTATTGAACAGTGAGAGTTCATATTCATAAAAACAGTTTCCAAAATCTACCTTTTTGTTCAGCAAACAAATGGATGAGAAAGTTGTCAAACTTTTTAAAATTTCGGTAGATTTTTCTTTGCTAATTCTCTGCTTTTATGTTAAAAAATGAATATTGTTTTAATAATATATATGATATTATGCCACCTCAGAAAAACAAAGCGTAACAGACATAAACAAACCTCACATGGAATAATAACTTTATTATAAACATCTTATTGATATAAAGGAAAGTAAATCAGGAACTACAAAGATATGTTATCGGCAGAGGTGGGGACTCGAGTCACATGACTTGACTCGAGTCAGACTCGAGTCGCATATTTTTTGACTTGAGACTTGCTTGACTAACATTGATAAAAGACTTGACTTGACTTTGACTTGGTATTCATGACTTGAGACTTGACTTAAGCTTGAGACAGATGACTTGAAAGGACTTGACTGTTTAAAATTAAATATTTGCGTTTGTTTTTGTAGTGAGATATTACGTTTAGTTTTTTCGAAAAATGTGATTGGGTGATTATAGCGCCGTGCGCGCAAACCTGGCAACCCACTAGACCGCAGGAGTGTCAGTTAACATGGCAGCGGCTAGCGTTACTCCACAAATAGTCAAGTTTGAATTCAAGGATTATGTTGTCGATGACGCTAATAAGAAGAGAACAGCGGTATGCAGGGTCTGCAGCATAAAGATCGGTGACACGACCACCACAACATCCAACTTCATTCGTCACTACAAAAAAACCCACAGAGAAAGGTGCGTGAATGTGTTGTGTTAGCTAGAAAGCTAACGTTAAGTTTAAGCTACGTTAGACTTGGTTTCAAATCGATTAAGCATTGCAAAGAGAAGACAAAACGGTAAATTAACACTAGAACCTCCAAGGGATTCATTTGTACTAACCCTGATACTGACGGGCTGTCAGGAGAGGGAGAGAGAGAGAGGAAAAGAGATGCCTCGTTTATTTCCCCTGTGTTATCAGAAGTTACTGTAAACTTTTGAATAATGTAGTTCATCTACTTTTAGTAGTTTGTTTAAATGTTTTAATTATGTTGTTTTTGTTTGTAGAAGTGCATCATTCCTTGATTTATTGTAAAAATGAATCTGAACTTTTTGATCTGTTATGATGATAAACTGAAGCAATTTCAAAATTAACCCAATGAACTGAGTTTTAAATCCTAGCTATATTGTCTGCAGTTCTAGGGTTAATATTAATCTAATATGATTGTCATCGGTCTAAATTAGATTTCAAATGATTAACTGTGTATGTAATGAAGATCATAGTGTGGGTTAAATCCATTTTCATAACCACTGTCTTTTAACTGATTTAAATGCGGAAACTGGGCTTATTCATCAGAATTTCGTATGACTTGACTTGACTTGACTTGACCTGAGCAATGACTTGACTTGACTTGCTTGACTCTCACCACAGTGACTTGGGACTTGCTTGATACTTGTAGGTCAAGACTTGAGACTTGCTCATGACTTGCACATGTAGGACTTACTCCCACCTCTGGTTATCGGGAACTCCAAAGATATGTTATCAGGAACTCCAAAGATATGTTATCGGGAACTCCAAAGATATGTTATCGGGAACTACAAAGATATGTTATCGGGAACTACAAAGATATGTTATCGGGAACTACAAAGATATGTTATCAGGAACTACAAAGATATGTTATCAGGAACTACAAAGATATGTTATCAGGAACTACAAAGATATGTTATCAGGAACTACAGAGATATGTTATCGGGAACTACAAAGATATGTTATCAGGAACTACAGAGATATGTTATCAGGAACTACAAAGATATGTTATCAGGAACTACTACAGAGATATGTTATCAGGAACTACAAAGATATGTTATCAGGAACTACAAAGATATGTTATCGGAAACTACAGAGATATGTTATCAGGAACTACAAAGATATGTTATCAGGAACTACAAAGATATGTTATCAGGAACTACAGAGATATGTTATCGGAAACTACAAAGATATGTTATCAGGAACTACTACAGAGATATGTTATCGGGAACTACAAAGATATGTTATCGGGAACTACTACAGAGATATGTTATCAGGAACTACAAAGATATGTTATCAGGAACTACAAAGATATGTTATCAGGAACTACAGAGATATGTTATCAGGAACTACAAAGATATGTTATCAGGAACTACAGAGATATGTTATCAGGAACTACAAAGATATGTTATCAGGAATTCCAGAGATATGTTATCGGGAACTACAAAGATATGTTATCGGGAACTACAAAGATATGTTATCGGGAACTACAAAGATATGTTATCAGGAACTACAAAGATATGTTATCAGGAATTCCAGAGATATGTTATCGGGAACTACAAAGATATGTTATCGGGAACTACAAAGATATGTTATCGGGAACTACTACAGAGATATGTTATCAGGAACTACAAAGATATGTTATCGGGAACTACAAAGATATGTTATCGGGAACTACAGAGATATGTTATCAGGAACTACAGAGATATGTTATCAGGAACTACAGAGATATGTTATCAGACAGGATGCTTCGCTCGGATCTTGTCGAAGCAGCAACAGGTTTGAATTCTTCATGGTTTGTTTTGTGAAAGTCAGTACTTTAAAAATCTAATATAGCAGAGCAGTGAGTCGTTGTTATCCGTATTCAAGGCAGTAAGAGACAGTATTGAATGATATTTTACACATTCAGGTCTCCCTTCTCTTGGAGATCGTCACAATCAAACATTCATTTTACAGGTGAAAAACTTCTCAGACAAATATGTTTCGCTGTTCAGTTAAACAGGTAAAAAAAAAAGCAGTTATTGTTAATTTAAACTTTGACAAAATTAGATTTTTAGTCACAATATAACTTTACTCCGCTGAGTCGCTCAGTCTCAATCTCTGTGGATTTTTTGTGCTAATTCTCTGCTTTAATGTTAAAAAAGGAATATTGTTGTAATAATATGTGATATTATGCCACCTCAAAAATATTATATCAGTATTTCTGACATTGTTTGTGAAGATAAACAAAGCGTAACAGACACAAACAAACCTCACATGGAATAATAACTTTATTATAAACATCTTATTGATATAAATGAAAGTGCAGGTAAATCAGGAACTACAAAGATATGTTATTAGACGGGATGCGTCGCTCGGGTCGGTTTTTCTCCGCTGAGTCGCTCTCTGAAGACGCGATGGCGGGCAGAACGTTGATGGGAACCAGCCTCTCCTTCCCATCATGCACTGCTCTCTCCCGGGGAGCCTGGATCTGCAGACGCCCCCCCGACAGAGAGCATCTGACGGCCTCCGGTTCGACGCCGTGGGGCAGGTCCAGCTCCTGCCTGAACTCCTGGCAGCAGGAAGAGAACGAGCCCTTCTCGTCGTCCGTCTTCTTCTCCGAGCGGCCGCTGACCCTCAGCTTCCTGCCGACCTGCGTGACCTCCAGCTCCTCGGGGTGAAACGCCGCCGTGTCCAGACTCAGAGAGAAGAGGCCGTCTCGCCACAGCTCCTGGAAGACGATGGGCTGGAACACAGCAGACGGCGAGGTGTGGTCGATCTGCTGGAAGATCCTCTGGTGCAGACGCTCCATGATCTCCATGTTCTGACGCATCTCCTGCAGGTGGCGCTGCATCTCCTGCTCCATGTGGAAGAAGATCGGCTGAACCTCGGGCCACAGGCGGCGAACCGGCCAATGAGCATCCAGGAAACACTGCATGGGGGGGGAGGCCGGCGGCGGGAAAACGCTGGGACACAACATCCTGTTTCCTGTTTCTGAGGAAGATCAGAAGAAGATTCAGAGAGAGACTGAGCTTCAGACTGTCCGACAACTGCTGCCCGATGCCTTATATACACACACACACACACACACACACACACACACACACACACACACACACACACACACACACAGTAATGCAGCTGGAACTTTCCATCTGTGTGTGTGTGTGTGTGTGTGTGTGTGTGTGTGTGTGTGTGTGTGTGTGTGTGTGTGTGTGTGTGTGTGTGTTGTGTGTGTGTGTGTGTGTGTGTGTGTGTGTGTGTGTGTGTGTGTGTGTGTGTGTGTGTGTGTGTGTCACAGTCTAAATGCAGCAGGTATTTCTGCAGCCTGCCGACACATGCCGATGGATCTCAGCTTTGTTCTATTTCTGCTGCAGGACATCATGACACACACACAACATGAGTCACTTTACAATTATTAACTATTACGACTATTCAAAAATGTTTTTGTGACAAGAGATGCTCAAAACTACACATTAGCAAACAATATGAGTGTCTATATGAGTCAATACTAACGGAGTTTACTCACAGGAGACGAAACCCAGACTCAAGAAGGTCATCGGATCTTTCCTCCGCTCTAAACGGTGAAATACACGTGGAAAAACCAAGAAACAAAGATGGTGACGACCAAAATCCAAGATGGTCCCAATGTGTTTATAACAAGATACGATAAATGTATTTATTCATTTCTTTGCGTTTTTCACTCAGTGTTGTTCTGATGGGTCGCCTTGTATTCGACAACATTTATAACAATTGTACTTTCCATTGCTCTGAACGTTTCAACAAGTGTCTTTAACAATATCTTTGAGTTGCTATAACATTTTATTTCACTTCTTCTGACCAGTCCCCCTTTTATTCAGAAGCTTTGCGTTGTACCCAGTGACTCTTCTCTCTTCAATACATATTTTAAAAGCTCACAGCAGCGTATTCATGTTCTGTAAACCTTAAAGACCCCTGAGACAAAAGAACAATTTGTGATATTGGGCTGATTAAATAAACTTTGATTGATGGATTTGGTGCAAGAAGTACATTCGCTTCAGAGCCCTCAAGAGCCAGATGGAAATGTTTATTAGCGTCAATAATGGTGTTGCTATTAAAGGTTTTGCTGCTCCCTAAAGCTCAGGAACAGGAGTGTAATGGATGGGATTTCTAACAGGGTTGAGATCTTTGATTTGAAGCTCTGCTCCACTAAAGCAGTGAGATCACAAACACATTTAACAAGCAGCACAATACTATCTGCCTCTTTAGCATACGGACACAGAAACACAATCAAAAATATATGTTAGTGAATGTGGAAACATATAATTAAGATTTATAATAATGTGTATTCTGTATTATTCTCAACTTTTATTTATTTATACATTCATTTATTTCCATATTTATTTATGCATTTATTTATTCTTGAATGTATTTATTCCTGTATTTATGTATTTGTTTCCTGACTCATTTAACAGCAGTTTGCCCGGTAATTAGTCAGCCTCCCGGTTTAGTTTGTCCGGTAATTAGTCAGCCTCTTCGGTAAAGTCTCCGACATAGTTTCCGTATTCTACTGACATCCAATCCTTCTTACGCAATAGTCTGTTAGGTGGTATAAATACCACCACTGTGTGTCTCATGTCGTCATCGGGGGATTAGCTCAAATGGTAGAGCGCTCGCTTAGCATGCGAGAAGTAGCGGGATCGATGCCCGCATCCTCCAGCGATACTTTTGTTTTTGTAACACTTTACGTCTTATCTGGAAAATAGAGTGATATAAACTACTATTTAATATGTTTTAAACCACCGTGATTAGGGTCAATTAAGCGCTCCTTAGTGTGTGTGTATTTAAACCAGTGGTCCATCAGGAGTCAAGGTTTGTAGAAACTGGTAAAATTTGTTTTTTTTGTTTTCAAATTGAAGGCAATAACCAAGCCTGGAAAGCAACTATAGTGCAGGGAATTAAAATGTGAGTTACAAAGAAGCATGAGTTTACATTTAATCTCATGGTTGTCCGTATGTAGACAGTAGAAAGGCATACTATATAAAGGTAAATATATAAAGGTAAGTAGAGACTGTATATAAAGTACCACAGACTATAATACAGACTGTATATATAAAAGTAAGTATTATAAACTGTATATATAAAGGTAAATACTAATACTTCGGCACAGTTCCTGGTCTCAGATCAGCTGACCGGAAAACCTCCCAAATAAGGCTTTAGGAAGTGATGACGTCGCTGTCCGACCTCCACGTGACACCGAGCCTTAAAAAACAAACTGATCCGGGCTGTGACGTGTCTCCGTGCTTCCGGTCATGTCTGCTATTTACTCCCGGTGACCGACTGCAGTCCTGCCGGGGAGGAGGCCCTCTCTCCGGGGGGGCTCCTGTTCCACACACCGGGAGCACCGGGAGCACCGCGAGCACCGGGAGCACCGGGAAACACCGGAGAGAGAGACTCCCCGCTGTGACCAAATATGGGCTTTCCGCTTGGACCGTGTTTGGGGATGTATACGTCACTCATCAGGAGTCTTTATAAAGCCGCGGAATCCTCCTGCACAAATTCAACACGTGAAAACACACACACCGACACCGACACACAAAGACCTATACACACCGACACACACTTAGTCTGAATAACATTTAAAACTCTATTTCAAATATGTTTGGAGCTTCACACACACAGCATGCACACACACTTCTTAATAACATTTAAAATCATGGCTATTTCAAATATGCTTGGAGCTTCACACATGCACACACACATGCACACACACACTTAGTCTGAATAACATTTAAAATAATTTTTCAAAAATTCCTGGAGCTTTGGATTTCTCCGGGCACTCCGAGCAGCAGCAACCCGGGAATAGCGCCTCTTTTTCGGGTTAGGAGTTGACTTTTTCGTCGGTCCGGAGTCGGACCCACCTCTCTCACGGAGGATGTTGTCAGCCCTGCAGCTGTCGGAGGCCGGCCTCCCGTCGCCCCTCTCCCCGCTGGAGGGGTACCTCTCCCGGCTGGAGGAGCTCCACTCACTGCTGCAGAACGCGGCCGCTGGAGGCTCTCTGTTGGCGGCCTCAGTAGCTCAGGGAGCCAGGGAGCAGAGCGCGGAGCTCCGGGAGCACGGAGGTGAGCAGAGAGAGAGACTCAGGCATCACATTTACTGTAAAACATTCAAGATACAAGGCTTCATCATCATGAGCTCAGCAGCTACAGTGGAGATATGGAGATGACAATCTGAAGTCCTCCTCCAACAGAGCAACACATAAAACAGATAAAATAGTGCAAGAGAGTGTTTGAGATGTGCAAGTAAATACAAATAAAATAGAAATAGTGCAAGAAGAGTCTGTATACAAGTAAATGGAATAATATAACTTTTTACTGGCACACATGCACATATATTATTATATTATATTATTCAGACTGTAACATATATTACAGTCTGAATGGAGCTGTTTTACATCCATCGTGCATTACATATAAAAGTGAGCAAGTAAAGAGAGACATGCAGGATAATATACATTTATGTGTTTTAGTCAGAAAAAGGAATATTTATATATGATCCTTATACTAGAGTTTTTGAGAAACAACAACAACAACAAGTGTAAATAATAAGTTTGAAAGATGGGTCAAAATGCAAAAAGAATAAATATGAATATTAGTTTAATAAGCAGATAAATAAAATGCAGTATTCATGTTTAAATATGAAGACTCAGTCAGCTGACCGGTTTCAGCCAATCACAGCAGACTTCCTGTTTACTGACTGGTGGAAATGTTATGATTCAAAAACAAGTTTATTTAATAAAGTTATAAAGAATGTCCGAATGCAAATTACCTCAAACTGAGCAACTGGTCCGTTAAACATGTGTTTCACAGACCATAACACACCTTAGTATCAGTATATCAGTATATAAGACGTAAGACTGTGCTTCCTGTCGGCCTGCGATGGTGAGCTGATATGTGTTACGTGTGTTTAATAAACCTTTCACACATTCAACGAAGAGAGCAGGCCTTTACACACGTCAACGCACGTCAAACAAAAGAGGCAAAACTCAGATAAAAGAATAACTTGCTCTTTCTGTGAAGGCTTGAATAACTTTTAGCCTCGTTGACGTCTTTCAGGTTTCATCTCTGTCTCTTTAGGAGGCACCGTGGGTATTGTAGTCCTTTATACCACTTTAAAGGACTACAATTCCCACACTACAGACGTCACGATTAGGCCCTAAGTACTGGCTCTAACATTATACTGATAATAAAGGATGACACTGACCCATCTCCTTCTCCTCTCAGACTGTCTGTCAGACCTGGAGCTCCTCCCCTCGTACAGCGGGCGCTTCTCATTCGAGCCCGCCAGCTTGTGGGCGGAGCCTCTGCTCAGCCTCATCACCGGATTGGTCAGCGTGGCTCCTCCTCCTCCTCACCCCTCGTCATCGCCATCATCATCATCATCATCATCGCTGCTGCCTCCTGAGCCAATCAGCTGTGGAGGAGACTCTTCTGTCTTCTCCCATTCGACAACGAGGTACACAATGACGCCCCCCTCTGATTCGCTGGTGTTCCCGTCAGAAGCCCCGCCCCCTTCCTACCCCGGCGTCCAGGTAAGATCAGATAAGATGATAAGTACTTTATTGATCCCAATGCAGCAGCATAAAAACACAAGGCATTGTACATTAACAATTAAAAGAATAAACAAGAAAGTAGAACATGTTGAATTACACATTTACTGTAACAAAACATCATTGTTGTAATAATAATAATTCATTACATTTTTATATTAGAGCGCTTTTTCAAGTGCTCAAAGCGCTTTGCATTACATATTAGACGTATTGGACATGTAAGAGTGAGTACTGTGGACCAAGTGAAGCACTGAATGGCCTCGTGTTGAAAGGTTCATTAAATAAACGTCGCCTCTTCTGACTTCCTTCTCCTCTCCTCACAGAAAGCCAACAGGAAGTGCAGGACTTCGCCGAAACATCGCCCGTTTTCCTGCCCGTCCGCCGGCTGCGAGCGCCGTTTCTCGCGCAGCGACGAGTTGACGCGTCACCTGCGCATCCACACGGGTCAGCGTCCGTTCAGCTGCCGCTTCTGCAGCCGCAGCTTCTCCCGCAGCGATCACATGACCACGCACGTGCGCACGCACACCGGAGAGAAACCCTTCAGATGCAGCGACTGCGGACGCAGCTTCGCCCGCAGCGACGAGCGCAAACGACACCTCAAGATCCACCAGAAGCAGCGGGATCGAACCAGCACAACCAACGCAGACGCCGTATCATCGCCCCCCACGGACGCTCCTGCGCCGGGCTTTTTATAGCGCTTTTCCCATGGATGTATAATAAGAACTGGATACAGCAGAGCGGACAGAAGGACACGTGTAAAGACAAACACAATGACGTCACAGCAGCTGCAGTACCACCGTTCGGCCTCTAGGATCTACTATGGCTCGGATTTTGTAAAGGCACTTGAATAAGCAAACTAAAGATAGTATTGAGTCCCAGAAGCTGTTTGGACGCCACAGACCTGCTGTGGCTGGGAGGGCTCAGACTTCTGACCTCAGACTGAAGTTTAACCAGAAACTTTGAAAAAGAAACGGTATTTGTTGTTCCCGCAGTGACCACAGGGGGCGCTGTTCCTGAAGAAAGACTTGTGTAAAGACACTTGAATAAGCAAAATAAAGGTAGTATCTTTGGGCCAAAATGACGTCATAGAAGCTGCAGTACCACCGTTTGGCCTCGAGGACGTTTCTGTGGCTTAGGAGGTCTTGGACTTCTGACCCTCAGACTGAAATTGAACCAAAAACTCTGAAAAATAAATGTTTATTTCAGCGTTGTTTGTTCACGGAGGTTCAGTTTGAGCCTCGCCAGCCTCCGTACCTGAGGGTCCTCCCGTAGCAGAGCCTGTACCTGAGGGTCCTCCCGTAGCAGAGCCTGTACCTGAGGGTCCTCCCGTAGCAGGGCCTGTACCTGAGGGTCCTCCCGTAGCAGAGCCTGTACCTGAGGGTCCTCCCGTAGCAGAGCCTGTACCTGAGGGTCCTCCCGTAGCAGAGCCTGTACCTGAGGCTGATCTCTATCCACCTGCTTCCCCTCTAACACAAAGAGAATATAATGTCCAATACGCTGACGCATGGTCACTTATTATTGAGAGGAAACTGTTTACTCTTTGCTTTAATACAAAATAAAAGTTTCTAAAAAATATCTTTTCACACATTTTTCAACAAGTGTGTGTGTGTGTGTGTGTGTGTGTGTGTGTGTGTGTGTGGTGTGTGTGTGTGTGTGTTGTGTGTGTGTGTGTGTGTGTGTGTGTGTGTGTGTGTGTGTGTGTGTGTGTGTGTGTGTGTGTGTGTTGTGTGTGTGTGTGTGATGTGTGTGTGTGTGTGTGTGTGTGTGTGTGTGTGTGTGTGTGTGTGTGGTGTGTGTGGGTGTGTGTGTGTGTTGGTGTGTTGTGTGTGGTGTGTTGTGTGTGTGTGTGGTGTGTGTGTGTGTGTGTGTGTGTGTGTGTGTGATCAGACGCTGTCACCAGCTCTGCCCAAATATGGCATTTCCTGTCTCTGCAGCGGACGTCCTAACACCCAAACAAGGAGCTTCCAGCTGACAGGACGCCTGGAGTGTGTGTGTGTGTGTGTGTATGAGGTAATAACTCGGAGGACAGGGCCAGCAGGTTGGACTGGAGTGTGTGTGTGCATTTATATTTTAATTACGTTTTCAGATTGCAAGTAAAAGGTAAATACACACACACACACACTCCAGTGTATTACCTGTAGGTGTACACATAGCGCTGGAGCATACAAAGACACAGAAAGAGGAATACGTAGCAAACTAATATCAGAATAGGAGTGAGATTATTACAACAAACAATATCTAAAAATTAGGGCTGTCAGTCGATTAAAATATTTAATCGCGATTAATCGCATGATTGTCCATAGTTAATCGCGATTAATCGCAAATTAATCGCACATTTTTTATCTTCTAAATGTACCTTAGAGGGATATCTTTCAAGTTTTTAATACTCTTATCAAAATATGAGTGGACAAATATGCTTTATATGTTTGTTTATTATCATTTGAACAATGACAAATATTCTCATGAATATTAAACACAACAACCTGAACATTACAAATATTCGCCTCAATTCAACCTGGAACCTCTCTCATACAATAATACTGTGTGTGTGTGTGTGTGTGTGTGTGTGTGTGTGTGTGTGTGTGTGTGTGTGTGTGGTGTGTGTGTGTGTGTGTGTGTGTGTGTGTGTGTGTGTGTGTGTGTGTGTGTGTGTGTGTGTGTGTGTGTGTGTGTGTGTGTGTGTGTGTGTGTGTGTGTGTGTGTGTGTGTGTGTGTGTGTGTGTGTGTGTGTGTGTGTGTGTGTGTGTGTGTGTGTGTGTGTGTGTGTGTGTGTGGAGACACTGTGATGGATCGTTGGAGCTATGTGCAGCTCAAGGCATATATGCTCCAACGGGAGCTGCCTGGACGCTGCAATCATGTTGCGCGTACTATCCGTGCTGAGTGTGCTGACTTTTCGTACAATGTCCCACTGTCTGGCTACCTGCATAAAGTCAAGTGCTCGGCGCAGTTGTCGGCGAAATGTCATTGAAACAGCTCCTTATATCCGTTAGCGCAGCTAGCTAGCACCAGATGCTAACAACAACAACAACAACAACACGTAAGGTGTGCCTCGCTCGCGCGAGTCGCACCACACATACACACTCCCTCCCGGTCCTCCCGATGGCCAGTCCGGGCCTGCCAGTGAGCGTGGAAGTGTGGTCTGCCACAAGCGGGCGGTAGGAGCTGGGGCTGTCAGCATCAGCTTGTCGATGGTATTTTAAACTCAATGCGCTCTGAAACTACGGCGGCCGAGGACAAAAAATACACATGCGTTAATCGCGTTAAAATAATTAGTGGCGTTAATTTTTTTTTGCGTTAACGCGTTATTAACGCGTTAACTTGACAGCCCTACTAAAAATACTATATACTGCATTTAAAGTGGAGAGCGGATGAAAGAGGTCGTGTGGAGATGTGCAGCATGGAGCAGAGCGCTGCAGACACAGAGTGCACTTCAGAGCCAGGGGAGACAAAGATAAACACATCATATTCTGTGTTGGACAGATAAGGAACTGTCCACATCAAGAAACAGCACGAGCAACGCAAAGAGACACCTAGTGACTTTCTCTGCGTCTGCTAGGCTGCCTGCACCCCGAGGAGTTAAGAGAGTCGGGGGGTGATGTTGAGGGTGAGGTCAACACACCTCCACTTTGTGATGCGAGTCTGAGGTGAGAGCCAAAGCAGCTCTGGAGCTGGTGCACACGTAGCAGGACCCATAGAGAGGGCTTTAGGTACGCTCTGTCATTCACAGACCAGTGTTTGTGTATTTCCTTAACGACAAGAGTGACACAGAGTAAGCAACAGAGAGACTGCTGTGCGATACAGCCCCATGCGGGAGAGATGTTTCAGGGTCAGACAACGGCACAGAGTTCACAGGAAACATTACCAAGCACTAATAAGATAAGACCAGTGGCGGCGCCAGAGACTTTCTCTAGGGGTGCTGTGGGGTAGCTTCACGTTTCATAGAGGGCGCCCAAACATTTAGGGTTTCCCATTAATGTACCAGCTACAGTGGAATGTTCTACTGCAACACTCCCCACACACACACACACACACACACACACACACACACACACACACACACACACACACACACACACAGTGTACCTGCGACTGTTACAATGAAGGCTCAATAATCAGCTCATGGCATATAGGTGTAAGCAGGGGTAAAGTGCTATTTTTACAAGTGGGGAGTGGACCTCACATAGGGGGGTCCTCACCTCCTCTAGGGGGGTCCTCACCTCCTCTAGGGGGGTCCTCACCTCCTCTAGGGGGGTCTGGGGGCATGCTCCCCCGGGAAGATTTTTTTCAAAGCATGAATCTGGTGCACTCTGAGAGCAACAACAGAGATCTACGGATCCATCTCTCAACATATGAAACAGAACTGGAAACAGATTTACTTTTTCTTTATGGATATTTTACAAATCACTCCCCTTTCAAACTGTATTCTTGTTTTACTGTCATATAGTATGTCAAACCTGTTTTTCATTTATTCTCTTATTGTTTTATACCTATAATGATCATATAAACGTATGCCTCGGAAATACTTGTTTACATAAATCGTGACCAAACCGTTTGAGACCCACTGAGATAACTTAGACTAATAATAATGTGTTCCATTTATAAGACTAAAGTGAACTATGGCTACCCCCTAGCGCCCCCCTAGCGCCCCCCTGGCGCCCCCACTGGACAAGACATGAAAAGTCAGCACCGTATTCCCCACATCAAAATGGCACTGCTGAGAGGAATTGGCGCACTCTTTTTGACATCAGGTGCATGCTTACAGAAAAGTGGCCCATGCAGTACAGACAGCAGCTGGAGTAAGGAAAGCCTTACTGCATGCTGACAGGTAGACGGCCTGACCTGTCCAGAATGCACACGTTTGGCTCAGTGAGCTATGCCTATAAGCAAGACCAAAATAATCTGGACTCGAGGTGTGAAGAGGGATGTTTGTTGGATATGACAAAAAGAGTCCAGCCTACATGGTCTAATGTCCCTCACAGTGGAAAGGTGTAACGTCTAGACTAGTGAAGTTTGTGATCAATGCAGAGAGAGAGACAGAAAGCGTCTCTGATGATGACTTTGAGATACAGAACAAATCAAGCAGGATACTAACGTTGGTCCAGTATCTATACCTGTGGTGACAGAGACAGGAGACGCCAGAGGTTGAGCGGAAGGGCGTTACCCTTCAAGAGAGAGGAAGGAGCCAGCTGTGACAGTGTGAAGAGAGTGAGGACCAGCTACTGACCAATGGGGACTATTGTTACAGATTCATGTGCAACATCCTCTTCTTCATGTCTCTTCTTCATCAACATGTGTCCCCTCTTCTTCATGTCTCTTCTTCATCAACATTGTGTCCCCTCTTTTCCTGTCCTTCTCATCAACATGTGTCCCCTCTTCTTCATGTCTCTTCTTACATCAACATGTGTCCCCTCTTCTTCATGTCTCTTCTACATCAACATGTGTCCCCTCTTCTTCATGTCTCTTCTACATCAACATGGTGTCCCCCTCTCTTCATGTCTCTTCTACATCAACATGTGTCCCCTCTTCTTCATGGTCTCTTCTACATCAACATGTGTCCCCTCTTCTTTCATGTCTCTTCTCATCAACATGTGTCCCCTCTTCTTCATGTCTCTTCTTCATCAACATGTGTCCCCTCTTCTTCATGTCTCTTCTTACATCAACAGTGTCCCCTCTTCTTCATGTCCTCTTCTATCATCAACATGTGTCCCCTCTTCTTCATGGTCTCTTCTACAATCAACATGTGTCCCCTCTTCTTCATGTCTCTTCTTCATCAACATGTGTCCCCTCTTCTTCATGTCTCTTCTTCATCAACATGTGTCCTCCTCTTCTCATGTCTCTTCTTACATCACCATGTGTCCCCTCTTCTTCATGTCTCTTCTTCATCAACATGTGCCCCCTCTTCCTTCATGTCTCTTCTTCATCAACATGTGTCCCCTCTTCTCATGTCTCTTCTTCATCAACATGGTGTCCCCTCTTCTTCATGTCTCTTCTTCATCAACATGTGTCCCCTCTTCTTCATGGTCTCTTCTTCATCAACATGTGTCCCCTCTTCTTCATGTCTCTTCTACATCAAACATGTGTCCCCTCTTCTCCATGTCTCTTCTTCATTCAACATGTGTCCCCTCTTCTTCATGTCTCTTCTTCATCAACATGTGTCCCCTCTTCTTCATGTCTCTTCTACATCAACATGTGTCCCCTCTTCTCCATGTCTCTTCTACATCAACATGTGTCCCCTCTTCTCCATGTCTCTTCTTCATCAACATGTGTCCCCTCTTCTTCATGTCTCTTCTTCATCAACATGTGTCCCCTCTTCTCCATGTCTCTTCTTCATCAACATGTGTCCCCTCTTCTTCATGTCTCTTCTTCATGTCTCTTCTTCATGTCTCTTCTTCATCAACATGTGTCCCCTCTTCTTCATGTCTCTTCTTCATGTCTCTTCTTCATGTCTCTTCTACATCAACATGTGTCCCCTCTGTGGAAAGAGACTCTGAAAGTTTCAGGAACAAAGATTCTCTCTCTTTTTGATCCATTTCTATAAAAACCCTGTCTGAAAATGAGCTGATCAGATTTTGGCC